GGTGCTGGAGTGGCTCCTGTGTTGTGATGTTCCTTCTAGGCTGCAAGCAAGAAGAAGGAAGCAGCTCTTCCTGGCCTTGTTCTGCCTGATAAAGTTCAGCTGGCTTCATCTCAGGTGACATCTTGAATGAGGTCTTGGTCTGTGATTTCAGTCACTATGTGCAGTCGCTTAATGTGCTCTAGGAAGTGTGGGGGGTTTACCCTGTTGAAAGGGCTTGGGTAAGCAGCTTGAGGTGAAATGTTCCTGTGGTAAGTATCCATCCAAGTATATGTCTTGTCTACGCTAGGACTATTTCACATTATCAGCAACCTGAACAGACTCAGGTAGTTAGAAAGGATTAAGTTGGTGCTCTTCGTGACTGTTTTGCAAGCTATTCCTGGGGAGAAGAAGTCAAGTACACACAAAAAAATGGAAATGTTCAGGAATCCTTTCTGAGAGATCTAGAGTAAGACCAAAGCAGTCTTTACTTTCCTAGAAAATTCTTTCCTTGGGGATAAGATTTTATTTTAGTGTATTTAAGACAGCACCTCAAATAATGTTTAATTGGTGGGCAGACAACTTGGCCAGTTTTGGATTTTAAAATGGAAGTAGTAAAGATTTAGGTCATGCTTAGAAGAGATGTGTCTTTCACTTTATTTACCTTCTAGATTAAGCAAAACTATGTAGGAGGACTCATAGGTAACTCAGTTCTCCTTTCCAGGTATGCCCCAAAAATTCCAGTTGCAACTCTGCTTGATATTGGAAGCAGGTGACAATGCATTTTACTAAAAATTATCAGCTTGGTGCAGTTTTTTGAGAAGACTGTTTATATGAAAGGCATATAGCAATAAGTATGTGTAAAAATATCTATCCTAGAATGGAATGACTCGGCTTAGCTAGCTGAAGTGTTTTAAAGAATACCTGTCTGTCTTCAACTTAACTTAAAGCAAAGAAAATCCTCACTTACCACAAACAGAGGGATGTGCTGCAGTCTGGCCTTGTTTCCTTGGCTGCTGGCATTAGCTTACTTATCTCTGGAAACTAGAATGAAGAGGAAAAGCTACTGCTACTGTAATTGGCTGTTTTGTGTTGGATGTTCTGTAAGAGATTCAAGCAGGGCTTAATAAAAAAACAAGTAGTTTTGCAGTAGATAATTAGTAGAAATATAAATCAACAGAATTGCTTTACTCACCAACTGAAAACACTTTCTAGTGTTTCTATTGTTAAAGCTGAATCTCTGAATAGCAGCATCTCTTCAACTTGGTAGAGCTTCTCCAGCTTAAAGGCAAGTGTGCTATCCTGAGAGCAGAGCGGTATTGACTGTTGCACAAAAAAATAATTCTGGTTGTATTTAAGTATAGTTCCCTACAATTTACCTTTTTTGGTTCCAGCTAGATAACTTCAAATAGTGCTTCTCAGAAGCCTTTGTGTCAAATCCTTGCAACTCAGTTAGTTCCTGTGAACCTTCATCCTAGAGGCCAAATGGTAACACAAAGAACAAAAATGAATCTTATTCTGGACTTTCCTTTCTAACAAAGGAAATAAAACAGCATTTGGATGGATTTGGCCTTTGCATTGCAATTTGCATGAGTAAGTGCGCTTTTCCATCAGTGAATAGAAGGATGTCCTTCTTGATAGGTTTAACTTCTATGACAAACCAGAAATAAGAGCGCAAGTCCTTAATTGATATGGGCCTAGTGACAATGAGTGGGATGACTGAGCTTTTTGAAACGTCTTACCTTTGTGCTATCTTTGATACTGAATACTGATCTCTCCTCACCCACTGTGTGAGGCAACTAGCCTCACGTGGGCATAGTAGCCTCACCTCCACATCAACTTCCGTCCCCCCAGTGCATGCCATGCATGCAAGTAACAGCAGTGTTTTTTTATTTAAAAATAAACTGCAAAACAACAATAGTAGTCTTTAATAGTAGTCTTTTTTTCACTTCTTTCTCTGCTTGAGTGGTTCTCGACTTGGATCCTTATTTACTTGACAGAAGAGAAAGCAGCATAAGAAGTAGGAAAAGAAAGGAATGAAACAACTTGTATGGCTTAGAGTGGAAGCCATTTAAAACACCTAGTTGAGCTGGCCTCAGGGAAGTTAGGCACAGCCACTTATCTAACTGTATTTCCCAATAGATGAGATCCCCACAAAGCATAAGAAAGTAACTTCCAGGGAATTAAAATAAGCTTGCTAGTCGGTACTGCTGGGGAAGGCAGCTCTGGACAGCCTTTCTATTTTGTTTTTATCAGAAGTCTGATAACATAAGGTCATCAAACAAGTACATACCTAAAGTCGCTGAACCCTCTTCTCTTACTTAGGGTGAGATAGGGGGTCACCTCAGAGGTTTTATTTAGAAAAGCTGCAGGAAGAAGTTGCTCCATTCTAAGATCATGCAATTATTAACCTTATAAAAGACAAGTAATTGCCTTATCCTTAAGAACTTATCCTTAAGAACTTACTAGTTGGCATCCCACAGAGCTGAATTCCAGGTGTACATTTGCAATAGCAATTGTTTTCCCCTTCAACTTGTATTACGTATGTCATGGTTTCATGTTCTTTGGTTTTCAGTATTCCACATCAAAACATCATCTACTGGAATTAAAGTGTTAATGCTTCAATTCCAGGTACCTATCCCTTTACATATTTAGAACAAAAAACACCTAGGAAAAATCCTTTTTGGCAGCCCAAATCAGTACCACCATGGTACATTCTTTGCTAGGAAAACTCTTGGCTTTAATTACCCCTCAGAGAATTCATGCTGTTACTGAGGCCCACCTGTAGCCGTAGTCAAGAATTTCAGATGTTTTCATAAAGGTTAATTCACCTTTTAAGAGTTTTCAGGGATTTCTCCTATCTGTCTGATGGATTAGCTTAGAATGACATTCTCCTACAAAACTGTCAAAAACTGAGCACTCAGGTAAGGGTTTAACAACATCATTGTGCTATCATCATCTGATTTTTTTCTATACTCTGCAACGCATTTACCACCTTCTTCAGGCACCCTTTATTTCCTTACAGGAAAAAAGGAAGATTCTACCTTTTAAAATGAGAAGAATTTGAATAGAAATAATCAGTTGGAAACAGAAACTTCTAAATGTAACCAAACAGAAACTCTAATGTCCAGCAGCTAAGGGATTAACCACTGAAGAGAAGTTTCAGCTTCCTACTCTCCCAAGAACTTCTGCAGGATAGTTGAGCTCTTAGGTTATTAGACTCAGTAATCCCATATTGAAGTGTTAGCTTCTCTATGCAGTGCAAAAAGCCCTCAGATTGCTGGTATTTTTCTTCCTCCCCAGACCACTGTAATTGTGATTCCACATGTCTGTCCTCACTGATCAGAACTTATCATTGTACTCACCACGGGCCCCAATTAACTTCACGAATGGACAACTGGCCACCTAGGAAATGATGGAAGCTACAAATCAAATCTGACCAGAAAACAGCAAAAAATGAGGCTGTTTGTTTCAGTGGTGTGCAGAAACTAATGTACTTGCACTTAGTTACTCTCTGTGTCTCAGAAGCAAAGCCTTGAGTCTGTTCTTGGCTTCTGCAAGACAAGGGGAAAAAAAAATTTAGCACTTTGACCACAGTCTTCCTAACGCTGCATTAGCCAATTTCTTCTACAAGCTAAAGATAGACAGATCTACATTCTCTCTGTCTAGAAGAATACCTCATCCAGCTTGCTAGAAACCTGAGATGAGAGCCTTTTGGAGAACAATTCTTAGGCTTTTAACTGTCCTTAACCATAAAGAGGTACGTATGGCATCCCACTAAAGCACAAACCGTGTAGAAATTGGACGTCTCCACAGAGGGATCAGGTACCACTGCGCTTCTTATCTGTCAAGACTTGACAGTGAATGAAACTGGTTCTCTGTAAGGTACTTATCGCTAAGCAATTCTTTATGAACGGCATATAAAATCATCGACACAATAAACAACAAAAAAACCCTTAGGTAGAAAATGATTTCCATTTTTAAAAGCCCCGTCATTACAAAATCTGCTGAAAATAGAAAGAAAGGTCAAACACTCTCCTTGGTTGTTTTTTTTCCCCTCACACCAAGAAGGAACAAAGCCAGCCAAGCAGTGGTATTTTGGACAGGTTCTAATTCTGCAACGCTTAGTATGTATGTTTCACAGCTTCCAGTTAACTCAGACAAAGGAGGCTAATTATGAAATTACTATAGAAAATACTACAGCTCTCCATTTACAGAAGGAAATGAAGATTACGTTCTCAAATGCTGAGTTATAAAGGAGCTCTTTAAGGATGCCTTTCTGAGAGCAGAAGAGATCGCCAGCCCCAGCATCAGAAGCATCAGAACACAGTGGAGAAGGCAGGAAACCAGTGCGTGACAAGAGTAATGACACGCTGGGGAAAAAAACAAGGGAAAAGAAGGAAAAAGTAAAGGGATGTGTAAGCTGGGGAGAATACAGGGATGATTACCAGGCACGCAGACATGGGTAAACTGACACGGAGATGAAACTGACCGGAAGAAGTCTCTGGCAGAAAGAATAATAGCAGTTATTATTCTTAGAAAATCAGTTGTCTGCTCTCTACACAGGGCATTAACTGATTTTAATAACCAGATGCTTGTACCACCAAAAAACACAAGATCATGACATACCAGCAGAAATATTTAAATCCTGTTCTGGAAGATCTATTTCCATACTTGTCAGTTCTCCACAGGTCTGTACTACAGATTGGGCCATCCTCTTTTCAATACGAGCAACATGCAAATCCTCAACTATCTGCATCTACAATAAAAAATATTTGCACTTCTGAAATCAATTATGGGTAAGAAATTACTTTTGAATTGTTTCAAAAAAATTTACTTTTGCATTAATTACTTTGTTTAGCTGACTAAAACTGAAAGACAAAAAAAAAATTAAGTTGGTACAGAAAGTGTAAAGCTATGAGTATCTTTTGCCTAATCTCCTGTATAAGAGGTCCACAAAGAGACATCCAAAACGCAGCCAAGAAATCTTTGTTCTGAGAAACCTTTCTGCCTAGTATCTGAAACTTTTCTTCCATTTTTTGCTAAATAGTCTGCAAGTAACCTGCCAGATGTTTCTCAAAAAAAATGTCTCTCCTCCTACTGGAACATAAGAGGTTGAAATATGAGTATGCAAGCAAGCATGAAGGCCCCTGGTGTTGCAGAGAGTAAAAAGAAGGCAATCTTCCTATCTCAAAGCTGATTACTACTTCAGCAAGTTTGTTTAGTATTTGAAAAAAAGGTTCCAAGTATTTAGATCATACAGATCTTAGACCAGCAATGCAAAATACTAGGAAAAGCCATGGAACTACTAACTGCACAACCTCAATGCCACGAATTATTAACACCAACTAACAAGTGTTAAATGAAAGCATTACTAACCTCTTGGTCACCTTCTAAGTATTCACAACCTTGAGGCAATGGAAAGATTGCACTGCTTTGAGGGGATGGAAAGCCCTGCAGGAAGAATTAAAAACAACAACATACCAACACACAGAATATCAATTAAGACTGAGAAAAAAGCATCAAGTTTTTTAACTCCTGTCAAGAGTCAGAATATAGCTCTTTAATATTATATAAGTACATTTACTTAACTTTTGGGTAAATTTTATATTCTCTCTTACTTGGTAGGAGTCAGATGCAAGTGAGAACTCAAAAGAAACAAATAATAACAGAAACAGAACATAGAACAGTCTTTTTACAAAAGCTGTTTTTAGAAAATACTCTGGTTGTCCAGAGGGGGTACGGAACCGCTGTCCTTACAGGCGTGCACTGGATGCAGTTTGGACAACCTCCTCTAAATGACTCTGCTTAAGCAGGGAGCAGGACAAGCTGATCTCAGGGTACCTCCCAACCTCAACAATTCTGTGATTCTGTACGTAATTACTATGTTGCATATATCCAAAATGACCACAACAACATAAAAAGAAATCTCTAATAATTAATGCTAGGCATGTTAAACAACAAACAAACAAAAAAAAGGACAATCAAGATAAAAGTGATATGTAAATTAGAGGTGCAAAGATGAATGCAAATCAGAACTCAAGACTGAATCTGATCACAGCCAGCAAGTTTTTCTGGCATCACTTAGCTGGCAACAAGCACCTGTTTGGCAGGGGCTTTCATTGGCTCAATTTCTACACACAACCACATCAGCTCAAAGAAACACTGTTGAGTTATCCTTGAATTGAAGTATCCCACACCCCTGGCAGAAAGATAAAGCTACAAAAGCCTACATACAGACACAGTCCTTGTTTGACAAAGCATTTAGTAGAGCAGATAAGTATTTTAACATGACTGACAGTCTGACCAGAAAAATCCATCTAGCAGGCCATGGGATCCTGAGCCTTGCAAGAAGGCAAGTCTACTTACATACAAACTACCTGCCATTCAGAAACCAGCCTAGAACAGACATTTGCATAACATAGAAATAACTGAGTTCTCATTACCTGCTTAAAACAAAATTCTGTGGCTTCGAAGTCCCCTTTTTCAGTCCCTGAATTACAACTAACTCGATCAGCATCCTGTTTTTTCCATTTACAACAGTCCCATTGCTGCAGTGTTTCAGTTGAGCAGTGTGATGTATGCTTGTTAGCATGTTGGTTTTTCTTAGAAAATTCCTTATATTCTTCTTTATACTTTTCTTCACAAGTCCTAGATAACACATTTGACTTCTTAGTGACAGGTCTATCATGACACACAGTCTCTATAGATGTGCTAGGTGGCTTTTTTTGAATTCTGACATCCTCACTCGTTTTTCTAGATCTGTCTGCCTTTTTATGAGGTACATATAAATTATATGCAGATGACTTCAGTTGTCCCAACACAGTTTGTTCAACTTTTACCTTTGGTTTACAGAGTTCAACTTTCTTTTTCTTCACCACCTTGTCTCTCTGAACCACAAAGCTATGACAGTGTCTTTTTCTTTCTTTAACGTCAAAAGGACCTTTGTTATGATCTTCCCCGCTAGTTGTCACTACATCAGCAGTGCCTGTATTTTTTCCATGTTTAGCTTCTTTGGATTTAAATTGTATAACTATTCTCTTTCGCTTTTCAGATTTGATTAAAGAATTAGCTGTGGTTTTGTTTCCATTTGGAGATTCTCCTTGGGATTTTCCATCAGCACCAGTATTAGAACTTTGATATTGTTTCTTCTCGTGTCTGCCTTTCTCTGTTTTGAATCTACAGAAATTGTACAAAAAAAAAAAAAAAAAAAAAAAAAAGTCATGTAATCTAGCTCAGTTAACACAGTACAAGAAAAAAAACAGGAAACACTGCCTTCGATATAGGCAGTTACAACTGCGTACTTATGGGTACCACTTTGATGTATATTTAATCATGAACTTGCAACATCTGTCCTCTATGAAGCTTGCTGTAGGGCTATCATTATTTACATCTTTGGCTGTAGAGCCATTTCAAAGTACCGAAATAATAAAAAGCTTTTTCTGTATTTTACTACCTCTAGAGATGTTCTATTACAGTTTATTCCCATCTTACCACAGAGATGAATTTTAACAGCATTTTAATTATATGTAAGATGTATCACCCTAAAGATCAAGTATGCAGCAGTTAGGCTTGGTCACACATTGCCAAGCACTTAACGGCCCTCAAATAGGACAGAATAAACAGACTGAGTAACTTGGAAAAGGAACAACTGAGGGAAATATATAAACGTTCTACAGGAATCATGATATAAAGACTGAATAAGGAATTATTTCTTATAAAAGCAGAGAAAATATTCATTAAATTTATCAGACACTAGGTTTAAAATACCCCTGACATTTACTCCCGTGTCCTATAACAGTACTATGAAAGTGCTGAGGTGGTAAAGGCCATTTAAGAAATGCCTGTAGAACAGATAACCTGAATGTCCTGACAAATATGCAACAAGATTTTGCCATGATTAAGAAACAATCCAAAGCTTTACATCTTAGGATTCATAAGAACATTCTTACTCTATATTAGTTTTCAAATACTTTTTACACTTGCTATGCTTAAGGTGAATGGTTGCTTTATTTGCCTCAAGTAGCCTATATTTTGCTAACAACATGAAATATGTGGTACAGGCCAACAAGGTACTGCTCAAGACAGGAAAAAGAAGGCTTTTTATAACAGTAGTGTTGGAAGGATACTATTCCTACTTTATTTGAAGTGCAATGGTATACTTTATAGTTTAAAACTGTTTGAATCTTGTTTTCTCAACAACCTCAAAACGACTAGTTCAGACAGAATCCACCCATAAACCTACTCATAAATGCAACGCCAACACTTCAGTTAAATTGCCATATTTTATTTACTGAAAACAAAAGTAGAAAACAAATCTTAAATTCAGTATTCAAAACAATCCAATGGTAGTAATATTTAATGCCAGAGAATTTACCTTTGAAATTCTGTCTGTCTGTCCACAGTTTGACTATAAAACCTTGTGACTTCAGAGTTCTGAAAGAAAGAAAGAAAGAAAGCCCAAGTGCTTTTAGAGAAAACTGCTGTAACAAACTCTTCACAAGATGGAACAAGCTATTATTTTACATTAGAATCACAGTGATTTTGAATAAGCTGACCTTGAAAAGGGCAGTTACATACCTCAAGATCCAAAGGGGAGAAGCATTACTAAATGCAGTTTTTCCCATAACCTTTTTCCCAAAACTCCTGTTTTTAATTTTCCACCCTTCAGCTTGCCCAGTATGGGAACCACTGAGTAGTCTTTAGGAATCAGCCCTGGAATATACTGTACATGAACAATCTGCACATATGGTGTCAGCACCTACTACAGATGAGCGGTATACTGGTACAGGCTGCCTAGAGAAGCTGTGGGTACTCCAACCCTGCAGACATTCAGGGCCAGTCTGGATGAGATTCTGGGCAGCCTTATCTAGCAGCTGGCAACTCCACCCATGGCAGAGGGTTGGAACTAGATGATTTTTAAGGCTCCCTCCAACCTAAGCCATTCTATCATTCTGTGCCCTTCACTCATAAGAAGGAATAGTAATGTGCTTTATTGACACGAGACAGTGACTTAACAGAGCTCAATAGTAAATATGGCAGTGCTTTATCAAGGTTCAATGGCATGGTATGCTTGATTATTGCGCAGAGGATTGAGTCAGATGAAAATAATCAGGAAGACCTTCCTATGAGTCACAAGATTCAGAGTCAAACTCCTTGGCTTCCAGACTCCTTCCCAGAGGGGTATGGGAGCAGCTGGATCCAACCTCAATCCAAGACTTAGTCAACAGTTATCTGTAAAGGATTATATGCACCATCAATCCTTTTTATTACTTAGCTGAGACTACACCATAAGCCAGCCACTAGTCACTCACCAACTATTTGTTGTGGGTAAGGATTTTTTTTTTTTTTAATCTCCAGGATTAAGTAATCACCACTTTGAGAGGTGTCCCTTCTCAAGGGGAAATCCTGGTGTGGCGCTCACTGCCATGTGGGAGAGGTGAAGGGGCTCTGGGCTGTCCCCTTTTTATGGGGTGAGACCGGAAAGCAAATGGGATCCTGGGCTCCATCAGAAGAGGGGTGGCCAGCAGGGACAGGGAGGTGACTGTCCCTCTCTGCTCTGGCAAGGCCCCACCTGGAGTACTGTGTCCAAGTCTGGAGCCCCCAGTACAAGACAGACAGGGAACTGTTGGAGAGTGTTCAGAGGAGGGCCACAAAGATGATCAGGGGTCTGGAGCACCTCCCCTACGAAGACAGGCTGAGGGAGCTGGGCTTGTTCAGCCTGGAGAAAAGAAGGCTGCAGGGTGACCTCACTGCAGCCTTTCAGTACCTAAAGGGAGCCTACAAACAGGAGGGGAGTCAACTCTTGGAAAGGGGAGATAACAGCAGGACAAGGGGAAATGGTTTGAAGTTGAGGCAGGGAAGATTGAGGTTGGATGTCAGGGGAAAGTTCTTTACTATGAGTGGTGAGGTGCTGGAACAGCTGCCCAGAGAGGCTGTGGATGCCCTGTCCACCCCTGGAGGTGTTCAAGGCCAGGTTGGATGAGGCCCTGGGCAGCCTGGTGTGGTATTAAATGGAAAGGTTGGTGGCCCTGCCTGTGGCAGGGGGGTTGGAGATTCATCATCCTTCTTGCCTCTTCCAAGCCTGGCCATTCTGTGATTCTGTAAATAATAATGAGGAATTCAGGAGGAAGAAGAGGAGGTACGAACACTTGGCTGTATTTTCTACATGAGCAAAAAGCTTCTAATGTGTGTAACTCAGGTTATTAAGTCCACCATATCACATTCATCTACAAATGCCTGCAAACATTTTTTTGAAACACTCATATTAAGATAATTAAAAGCTCTCTCATTTCATATATACTTTGCAAAATTGGACAGAAAAAATTAGCAAACTGGACTTATTAAATTACTGATTTACTGGCTATGTATTACTTGCAGAAAACAACTTTCCAGAAGCATATATGAGCAATAAAAAAAAAAAAGCAACAAAGCTACAGGAAAGCATCAGACCAGTAGCTGATGCATTTTATACAGATATAGATCATGTACTAATAATCTAGATTTAAGTTTAGTAATTGATTTGTATCTCAACTGTTAATAAGAAATTTCTGAAAGTCACTTTTTAAGATGCTGAAAAGTGCAATTTGTAAATAATCAGAAAATCAATATATATTGGTCCAAGATAAAGAACAACCAAAGAGAATAGGTTTGTTAAGTTTCATGCTCAACAGCCCCCACCAGACAAATATAGTATAATTTTAAAAAAAAATCCCTTAATTTCTTATACCTATCCTACCCGTGGGCTCTGGATGAAAAGAGACCAGTTACCCGGCTGGAACTTGCAGCTATCTGAACATCCAACCCTCCCTGCTGCTTTTGGTGAAGAGCGTTTCATTTTAACATTGATTCATTCTTCCATCACAAAACTGCTAAATAATTCACTCTCTTTTCTTTCACGTGGGGATGCGATTAAAGATGCAGATAATCCTACTTTGTCATCCTGGCCATTCAAACTGTCTCCGTTTATTTTCTTCAGGTTTTGTTTGGACATCTTTCAAACCTATGAAGAAAAGAAACAGAAACAGCATCCCTGTTATTACTTCACATTTTTATTTCCTGCTGGTAATAAAAAAATACCGCAACTGCCTTGAGAAACAAATTCTCTTTAGTTTCCTCTTCACATTACGTAGCCACAGCCTGTCTGAGCAGCACCAGGGATCCACATCTCACTCGAGAACTCCCCAGAAGAAAGGCCGGCCACTCCTTGCTCTGCCACCCGCTTGAGAGTTGCCACCACAGCAGACACAGCAAGCTAACACAGGCAAACACCGTGCCGTGCCTTCAACGCGGCCCTGGACTTCTACAGCTGTTCCAACTATTTGAAGTTAACACCTCCACACATTATCCCACGTTGTAAGACAGAGCGTTTCTCGGATGCGAAGCACCGAAGCAGCTTCCAGGCGTGCTGCCGCAGAACTAAAGGACGGTTTTTTGCTAGCGATAAGCAAAGAACAGAAGGGGACGGAAGGAAAAGCTGAGGCAGTCAGCTGCCAGGCTCGGGCCGTTGCGATGCGCGGCGCCCAGACGGCCCGGCCCGGCCCGCTCGCTCCCTCCCACCACGACGCGCCGTGCGCCAGGCGCCCCTCGGCCCGGCCGCCGGTGATGGCGGTCCGCGCCCGCTCAAACCGCGCGGACGGCACGCGGGGCCGCAAAGCCTTTCCGCCCGCTGCGAGTTGCGTCACCCGGTTACTTCAGGCCCTGAGAACTCAACACGCCACCTCCCGGAACGCAGCCCGTTCCAGGACGACGAGCCCCGTTCTTATTTGAGGGAAGCACCGGGCCCTCAGAGCGCAGCCCGCCAGGCACGGCACGGCACGGCCCGCCGCCCCTTCTCTGCCCCTCGCTGCAGAGCAGAGCAGGGCAGAGCAGAGCAGAGCAGAGCAGAGCAGCCCCACCCGCCGGGCCGAAACTAGCCGCTCCGAGGCAGACCTCCAACAGCACCCCGCCGCTCCAACCCGGAACGCCCTTCTTCCTTCTCCCCTCCTTCCACCACGGTGCTCTGGGAAATGTAGGCGGTGCGCCCCGCCTCCCGGCCGGGGAAAGAAAGGCGTGTGGGTAAGGCGGTCGTCCCGGCGCCCCGTTCTCAGCGCAGAAGATGGCAGCGCGGGAGGCTGCGGAGGCCGGGCTGTCCGCGGAGCGGCTGCAGGAGGCCGAGGAGGAGGCGGCGAGGAACGGGGCGAGCCCCGCGGGAGGTGGCGAGGCCGCGGCGCTCAGTAAGGGCCGTTGAGGCGCCGGGCTGAGGGGAGGGGAGCTGCGCTGAGGTGGGGGGGAGCCGCGGCGGCCGTGAGGCGGAACCGGCGGCCTGCGACCCGTTGCGGCGCGGCGTGTCCGCGCGCGCGGGGCCGGGGCTGCGCGGCCTCGGGTGGGCCGTGCGCCAGCGCTCCTGCCCGCTACATAGCTCGATTTCGGCCGCGGGCCGGCGGCTTGGGCCTGCCAGCAGCGTTTACGGTCCCGGAATCGGTAACGCGCGCGTTTATCGGTGAGCTGGCTGGAAGCAGCGAGCGCGCTCGTTCTCACGCGGGTGGACGCGCGGAGCACGCTCACTCGTAGCCGCGTGTGGAGCGCGCTCGTACCCACGTGCGTCCGCTCCAACCGTCTTGCGTTTCTTCTTTTCTGATCAACTTACCTGACCTGCGTCGTTAGGTGTTCCTGCAGTTTCTTCTTTCTAGTTCTTTGTGATGGGAATATTGCTACGAATCTGTAGCTTTTAAAAGCAAAACTACCTTAGGAACTACTACGAGATTTATCCAACCCTCGTTCTGCCTCTAGTGGTGACTGGGAATAGTTGAGGATGAACAGGCTGAATGAACCCTCCAGAAATGCCTTCCAGCACAAAACAGCTGGCAGCTCATCGTTTCCTTGAGCTGGTGGCCTTAGGTTTAAAAGCTCACTGGCCATTTCTCTCCCATAACATTTTTGCTTTGGCACCTGCAGACTTGAAGAAGGTGGTGGCAGGGAGTTCTGCAGCGTAACACTAGCTTATGCAGAAATCTTCTGGTGTGATTTTTCCAGCCGATTTGACCCATCCTAGGTTACGTTGGGAGTGACAGAGAGCTGCTGCACTTTCTCTACAGGTGTCTCATATGGGATGAGAAGCCATCTAGCCTGTCCTGTTGGTTCTCAGTGGCTAGAAGGCTGTGCCTTAATTTTTTGTTTCTTGTCGCTCCCTTCTAGAACTTTCCTAGGACTAAGCACGTTTTAGTGAAGGGATATGGGCCAGTACTGCTCCATATGCAGGCTCTCCACACTTTTTCCTTTCAGCTCCTAAGGTCTTTTTTTTGGAGGAGGTTTTATACCTGTTCCTTTAGTCAAAACTGTGTTTTAAAACCTGAAGATAGTAATCTCGACTGGTGTTACTCTGGTGACAGCCCACCCATTCATTCCATTCATATGGGAAGTCAAGATTACACCCTGAGGCTCAGCACTTTACTGCTTTTTGTTTAATTCCTCGATTGCTAGGCCTGCTTTTTCCAGGTTGTTTAACTGGCCACAGTTAACTAATGTTTTCGAACTATTTTTTATCAGTATTGTATATGATAGTTAAGTGTATTTGGACCTCCTGCTTGCCTGCTTTGTCTTGCTCACATTGCGTTTTGCAAGACAATTACATGCCAACGTTGTCCTGTTAGCTTCAAACATCTGATAGTACAGATGGGTGAGTGGTTTCTTCTGTCCGGGATGGTGTCCTCACCCTGGTTTCCAAGGGTGAGCAATAATCTTTCAAATATTCTTCTTCAATACTCAGATTTTACAACTTTTCTCTTTTACAGTAGCAAATATGACTGAAAGCGAATGAACATAGCATTACAATTCCAATATATCAATAACATTTTTACTTTAATTTCTATTTGATTTTCCTAAGATGGTGAAGTTGACTGTACAAAAGTGGAAAGCAACAACCTGTCTGTGAAAGTTGGTGAATCAGAAGTAGAAACCAAAGAAGAAAGAAGAGAGCATGAATCCATAAAGGAACCTGATAGTAACATTTTGGATGGTTCATCTGATTATCCAAGAGGTTTGCTCATAAATATAAGAGTATTTCTGTAGTGTGTTTGAGCAAGGGAGAAGGAAAAGGTAGAAATGTTGGATAAGAAAGGCAAGTGGAATGTGTGCAACTGAGTTACTATGCATCTGGTGGGTAGTGATACTTTTTCCCATGTGCCTGTATGAAATGTTTTCCTGCAGTGTTGAAAATTTCTTTCAAGTGAAATGCCATTTCCTCCTCTCTACAATTTCTGGAAGCCGCTTCCAAAATTAGTGCATGTGACAGCAGCACAAGAGAATATCCACACAAATGGGGAAGCAGGAGTTGATTTTAACCTTAGCTTTAATACTCACTGTCATATCTTTGCATATCGGTCAGTTGCTCTTTTCATTTCATGTAAGAAAATCTGAAAGACTAATGTTGTACAAGCATCAAAAAGTTTTAAAGTCCTTGCAGAACTGGTCTTATAGACTGAGATGTTCTGTGTGTTGCAACCAACAGAACTTGCTGGATAAGCTGATCCTAGTGGGCTTACAAATTCTACGCTATTTCCATTGATAATTTGAAAACTGGGAAGGTAGTTTTAGATGTTCTCAAACATTCTAAGAAAAAAAAAAAAAAGGTAGAATTGAATGTGTCCTGGTTTTATATTAAATAACAACTACTTAAAATCTATCCACCTCTGGCTGGCATTTCAGTTTTGCCAGGCTGCTCATAGGATGATACTGCTTTGTGTATGGCTCACGTTCAGCAACAGTGGCATGTAGTAAAGTCAAAGACAAATAGTATGGGACTTGTTCTTTTCAGCTTTAGTTTTTCAAATGAAGGTCACTTCAAGTGGAGAATTCTGACGTGTGTCAGCATTGAAAAGCAAGTAGAATATCTTCATCCTAATAAAGAACCAGTTCGGGGATTAATTTTGCGAGTTATTCTTTCTACTGGAAACTAAAGGATGAAAACAAGTACTCTATTTGGTGTTATTAACCTTTTCCTGTAGTAGGCTTGAAATGATGGATTGAGTAATAAAATAGTACTGAGGTAGAAATGCATTTTTAAGAGTATGCTTACTTTTTGTATCTCTTCTATTTTAGAGAAACATCTTTCCATTCAAAGACAACTTGCTGATCTAGAGAAACTGGCTGACCTGAATGAAGGTGAGTTTACCTTGGCAGTACCCCAGAATAGATCTTCACGTTTCAGGTATTTACATTCTTCCTCAGTAGCTATTTTTCAAACACTGCATCTGTTTTGTTCTTCATTTGTTTGTGTTGCTCAGAGACTATGTGATTCATTACAAAATAACTTTATAATATTCCTTTTTTTATCAAATGCTGTACTTCTTTCAGTAAATCGATACCCTTATTGAGCATTTTTTTCTGCATTTTTTTAATATTGGTAGCATGAATGGATTAGCAGAATGTTTACTCTAGCCATACTTACATCAGCAGCTCAGTCTCACTTATGCTCGTTAGTCTCAGTGTAGCCACAACAGCAGGGAAGCTAATTATTGTCTTTACAGCATTTAATCTTCTGTTTCAGTTGTTTCCTTACTTTATCATCTTTTCTGATCCATTTTTCTAGTAGAGGACTGCTTAGGAGTGTTAAGCATTTTTTATTACAACTTCTAGCAACTCCTGTTTTTTCTCAGATCACATGTCTCTCTTCAATACAAATAGTGCCAGTCCTTGCACCTGAAACTGGTTTTTATTTATAGATCAAGAAAAACATCAGTGTGTAAACTACATCATACAACTCTTGCACTTTAGTAATCTTCTAGGGTGTTCACTGATGGAAATGATAGCCTGCTTCTGTAGCTGTTTAGCTTGACCAACAAATATACCAAGCAAAAAGTTTATAGAAAATTAAGTCCTTCTATGTTTAATGAAGAGATGGGTAATAGATTCTTCTTAGGTCCAATGTGCATGGGTTTTAACTGTTATCAAACCGAATTCTGTGTTAATCCATGGTGCTGATTAAAAAACAACAAAAGCAATTCTATTTCCTTGCCTGTTCTCAAGTGAGTTTTTTCTTTCTACCATGGATTTATCATTCTTTTCCTGTGAATGAACTGACTTGTGTTTATTGTCATTGCCTCGTTTGAGATTCAGTAATGTGTGACAGTAGCAGAGCCTGATCATCATTAGGGAGAAGCAATGCTTTATTTGAACTGTTGGCCGCTTCTCCTGGCTTCAGAGGCGTGGGATTCTGTAGGAGTGTGGTAGTCTGCTTGTAAGAACGCCTTATCAGAGGAATTCTGTTGTTTGTGAGACTAAGGAATTATTATATCAACACTCACACTGTGTAGCAAGTTCCAGTATTCATCCTGTACTGTGGTGCTACAAACCTTTCTGCTAAAATCTACCTGAGAAGTTATTTGATTTTCAGTTGTGGGAGACCCAGAGGCAGCTGTATGCGTGCCCTCATCTGTAATTCCCACAGACAGGTGCACAGCCTGTGTGTCCCAGGAGCTTTTGCTCAGGATGTACTTGGATTGCTTCAGCACCTTTATTGCCAGATAACTTTGCACTTGCTTTTGTGTTCTAAAAACAAGATTTTCTGAAGATTGTTATTAGCACTGCGTGCAGTATTTTTGCAGCTTTAAAAAGATACCAGGTGCTTGCTTTACCTAAAGCCATGTTCAGAGGTTCAGGAGCATGAAAGACAGGTTCTTGTTTTCTCACTGGTTGGCTTTTCTTGAAATGTTGCAAGCCTCTGGATGTCTGTAAAATTCCTTCATTCTGCAACGCTGTTCAGAAGTTAGATTACGATCAAAGGGTTCTGAAATTAAAAAAAAAAAAGTCAAAAATGTGGAACTGACATTGTAGAAGATAATGATCTTGAAAGAAATCATGTTTTTTGTTTGTATTCCTTTAAGTAGAAAGCAAAGACAATCCATATATTGCAAGTTTGTCTACCCCTAAATTAGAACATACCCTGAGAAACTAATCTTCAGTTCCGTTGGTAGGACTTGCTTTCTGTTTTCTTTAATGTGCATCTCTCTTAAAAGGCATCGTAACTGCGTTTTACACATCTCTCCTCATACTCCTTGTTGGTATTTTCAGCTGAAAAGAAGCCTTGTCCCTTGTGTCCTGAAGAGAAATTTAAAGCCTGCTATGGCCATAAACTTCATCGTCACCTCCAGAATTTGCACTGGAAAATTTCTGTGGAATTTGAAGGTAAAATAAGTCATCTTTCAACAGTAAATAGCCAAAGAGAGCTTTGATGTGGAGGACATTCGTCTGTGGTCTTTTTTAGCTCCTCTTGACTTAAGTATAAGTTTCATGCACCTTATCAGCTCTAAACCAGAACCATATCTTGACAGTGAACTTTGCCATGGGATATAAAATAGAAATGTAAAATAGCCCTCCATTTTTCTACATGCCAAAATAGTTCAAATTGTGCATTTTCTTGTTTAAAAAAAAAAGTGCTTGGCATGTCATGATAATAAAATACATTTATTTGATGCGAAGTACTTTAATAAATGTTTTGGTTGTATTAGAGCAATTTCCATCATTGCTCCCACCTCACCCTGCTGTCTTTTTTGCCTCGTCATAACGTTTCTTTGGGTTCAGGTAACTACTCCAAGTATTGATTCAGTATAGGTATTTTGTAGCCTTATCTTTCACACTACCAAACTCTGTGATCTGTTTACAGATACATTAGAATCCTTACAAGGAGTTTTAAGAAAAAGAGTGAGCATCATGTTTTTTAATGAACAAGATGTATGAGTTTGCAGGAAATAAAATAACCATCCAGAGTATGGCAAAACTGAAGTTAAATTAAATGAAACAATTTTCAGACTGTAGCGTGCTTTTGTTTTATAGGATACAGAATGTGTATCTGCCACTTGCCTTGTCGTATAGCAAAACCAAACTTCGTTGCAGATCAGGTAAAAGTGCTGAATCATAGAAATGTTTCTTAGCCTATGCAATGGGGGGAGATGGGTGATTTTGAGCAACTGCTACAGTCTGTCCTTAGTCTGAAAAGTATGACTTCTTTCCATTGCACTATACCAAGTGTGCATCAGTTCAGAATAATGTCTTGATAGAACCCTGTGGGGAGTTGAATGTCACATCTCTGGCATTTTGATGGACAGCTGCCTACATCTTCTAAGTAGCAGCTCTCTGTGGGAGAGATGAAGAGTCATGGCAGCGAGCAGTGGGTGCTTCTCAGCTCTGTCCGTGTGCTGGGTCGTGCAGCTGGACGGGCTGTGTTGCTGCAATAAGACTGTGTGCTGTGTGGGTCTGGTTATTTGCAGTCTCCAGGCTGCAGATTCACAATGTTTTATGTGTAGTAGAGTTAAGACAGATGACTTCTTCATCAGCATGTGTTTAGCGGCGGTCCTACTTGAACCACATTTATGTATTCTGAAAGTACATTTCATGTCACAGACATTTTCAAAGATGGGAGCACATTACCACTGTATCATCTGCTCAGCAACTATCACACGAAGAACTGATATGATAGGACATATTAATCGCCATGTCAATAAAGGAGAAACTGAATCAAGATTTATTACAGGTAAGTTCTCACTTCTGAAAAACATTTGATACTTTGCAGCGCAAGTTATCTATGATGACAGACATGAGAAAAATTCATAAACAGAATTACTTGGATATACTAATGAGAATTCTGCTCTTAATTTTTCAGAATGTTTTTTTTTTCCTGAAAGATCTGGGAATGCTGTGATTTTTGTCTCTGTGTTAATCAGTTACTCTGTTCATAGAGATGAATAACATGCTCTTCACAAACAGATCAGTGCTGTAAATGTAGGTTTCTGCCTTTCCAATACAATGGAGAACCTAGTGTCCATTAAAAACAAAACCTGCACTGAGAATTTCATTCTTCCCCTTGGCTGTGTTTATTATTAAATCAGTCTTCAGTAAATCTCGCTACAGCATACATGTATAGTGGTTGTTTTTTATTAAATGGCATCAGCAGGAGTTCACAAATCAAGCTGGCTGTTATTCAGTCCTGGAGAGTTGTGATGGTGGTGTTACAAGTTCTTTGGATTTTAATTTTGTCTGACTTTCTCAAGAATTAGACTTTTTCTTTCTAAGCTTGTGTAAAAATGAGACTGAAAGCATTCTAGATAATTGGAACACCAGATGTTTTTAATTTCCTTTATTTTCACAGTTTTGTTTGTTTGTTTTTTGCAAAAAGTACATTGTTCTGCTTTTGTGTAAAAACTAAGACTTTTTCATTATGGCCCAGACAGCTCACTATTGAAACTTGTTCTTTTTGTTTGTCTATTCTGTCTGTGTGCAGATGTATAGATTTTACCTGGTTTTAGTAAGAACAGGACATGAGGATCACACTTAGTTTTGTTGTCAGTCTGCAGTTTAGGAATAGCAGCTTAATGCCTGGGGTCAGTTTTTATGTCTGTGCAGCAGAACTAGGACATGTTTCCATGACATGAGAAACTTCAGGCTTCTCTGTTGCATTGTATCTCTTTGTGATTCCATTCAGAGCAGTTAGTAAAAATGTACTTTTTATTTAAAATGCATGTGGATAGTTTTCCTGCTGGGTAGATGAGAAGCTCATGGATGATGTTTGGTGCCTAGGAGGCACCAGCAAATGCTGAGGGCTGTGAACATGAAGCAGCATGGCAGAGTGGTTCAGATGTGCTGCCTGTGTGCTTGAAGCACTGTGAGGTGGGCAGGCTGTGCACTGAGAGGGGTCTCTGGCAGAAAGCTTCCACATTTTTCCTGGTTATCTCTGGGTAAATTTTGCTGCTGTTAGACTGGGGAATAACTGTTCAGAGGAGTGACAGTGTTACAGCTGTCAAATCAAGAACACTTGTTTTGCCACAGTCTGTACAAAGCTTAAACACTGAAATTGTTAATCAGTTTCATGAAGTTTTTTGAAAACTCTTTAAAAGAGAGTGGATCAAGAATTAAATGGTTCACATTCGTGACCGTATTAAAAGTGTTCTGGTTACCTAGCAAATACTTTTTGAACATACAGAACAAATGTGATAAGCCTCAGGCTCTGGGCTTACTTTCTAAAATCTAGGTGGATATAGAAGAACTGAAGTAAGAAACAAATCCTTTCTTTCATGGCAAGAAAATCATGGTAGAGCTTGAACCTTGTCTGCTGCTTTCCAGACTGTAAGATACATTATTTTTTCCTCCCTTCCTTCCGTGTGTGCCAGCTGGATGACGGCACTGTTTGTTACCTGGGAGCAAAAATTCAGTTATCATGTATCAAATGTCCTAATCTAAATTTCAGTTCTCACTTTCTCCTTGCTCTGCAATTACTTTCTTTTCAGCTCCCGCTCCCAAGTCATCTTGTGAAGTGCTGAAAGAGGCAGACACAGATGTGCAGGTTCTTCCCAACTATTTCACACCTCAAAAGACAGACTCCTATTTTAATCCCAAAATGAAGCTCAACAGGTGAGAGAACTGGGAGTGGGAAGATAGGAACGAAGGTAGGCGACTTTGCAGTGTGAAATATCAATGTGTTATGAAAAACATACTCTGTCGGTGCTTTATTCGGAGGAGGAATAGCTTTTGTGAGTAAAAAGGTTTCTGGAATAAGAATTCCGTTTAGATGTGCTTTTAACTTGTCTGCTAGGATAATTTCTGTTAATCTTGGAAAGTTTTCCATGAGTAACTACTTCAGATACCTGGAAAATGGCTCGGGATTTTACCTTAGGAATTTTCTGCTGTGCTGAGTCACTAAATTGAATGTGTGGAGGTTAAAAGTAAACCTAACTACTGGAATTAAACTTTCAGTGTTAGTTAAGGATTGTAAATCAGAAACCTTTTGTTCAGAAGGTGATCTGCTTTAATTGTTCTGGGAAGGTACTCAAGGGAAACAGATAAGAGGAAGAAAAAATTTTATCACCTTCTAATGGCTTTTTACGTTTTTCCAGGCAACTGATATTCTGTGCTCTGGCTGTTCTAGCTGAGGAACGTAAACCAATAGAATGTTTGGATGCATTTGGTGCTACTGGTAAAATCAAGCTCTTTATCTTCAGCTAACATCCGATAGTACGAAACTGCAGAAATGAGTAGTAACAGACTTGTCATGTTGTTTTTGAGTATGTCGTTTTCTTGCTTAGGCAGACAATCATTGGCTTCCATACAATCTTCAAGAGCTTAGATTAGGTCCTTTGAAAAAGATTGCAAATAATACTAAATTGAAGTTGAGTGGTGTGCTTGAAAACAGTTGTCTTAATGTTCATGAAATTCTATCTTCAGAGGTGTGCAGTCAAGATCTTGAGTCTTTTTGAGACTTGGTGGTTGGAAAAGCAACCTCTGGTTAAACAGTGGTAGTGTATCCAGGTTTCTTTACCAAATCCTCTCTGATAACAAAAATTCTGAACTTGAACTAACTGTAAAGTTTTTCTGCTGGAGTCCACTACTGTTCTGGAACAAAAATCTGAAGAAATCTGAGCTGCTGCACTATGATCAGTCTGCTATTGTAAACCTAAATTTATAGTTGAGAACAACAGTAGCCACCTCAGCATTTTGTGTAAACTTTGTTGCTGTTCTGAACCAGGTGAGATTTCAGAGCTGCAGGCCGTCCTGCGTTTCTACAGGATAATCCTGGAGTTGGCTGAAAGTCAGCAAGAGTATTTGCAGGTTGCATTTTGCTTTATTGGAGCACTGAGCAAGCCAAGGGTCTTCACTACAGATTTTAACTCCATCACTCATCTTTGGTCTGTAATTCCCAATTCTTGTATAAGAAGGTGACAGACTGCTTTCCATCCTCTCACAAACTTCAGTGTGACTGTAGTGGTGCAGAAAGTCACCAAGATAATTACTGCAGGAGTACACCAAAGCTTGCAGCATGCTGTTGTGTTATAAGCATTTAAAGGGATGTGGGTTGGTTTGTTTTAAGTTAGGTGAACCAGAAGCTAGCTCCCTTGTTCCATCATGGAGTTATGTTTCTGTCTTTCCATAGGTATAATGGGATTACAGTGGGCAAAGCATCTCCGAAGTTCTGTCAAAGTTACAATTAATGATTGTAATGAGAATTCTGTGACAATGATTCAGGAAAACTGCCATTTAAACAAAATGAAGGTGAAAGTGAACACTAAGAAAGAAGACAATTACGAAGGTATAGGAGATGGAGAAGAAAATGCTGATACCATTGAGGTGACAAAAATGGACGCCAATGTTATAATGCATTTGAGATCATTTGATTTTATGTAAGTATTAGATACTTCTCTTAATAAGTTCTCTGTTTTGATTGTGATACAAGTTGGAATTAAAGAAGCAACCAACATGCAGTTGATGTATTTTTCCGCAAAACACATGAAAACAGAAAATTAAAAATCATTTTTAATATTTTTGAAATTGATGGAAAAATATTAAAGCCTTTTGACATCCAGAATGAAATATGAATGTGCATGAACATTTTAAGCCAAACAATTTTTGGTATAATATCATTGCATATGTGATAAAATGCTTTTTTAGTTATCCCACGTCACAGAATCGTGGTCAATACCTCATATCTCACAGATTGGAAGGGACCTCCAGAGATCATTGAGTCCAGTATATTCCTTGATTAGGAGTCTCTCTCCTCAAATTTGTCAGATTTTTTTGTTCTTGTTTTTTTCCTTAGAGCATCTAAATAACTTCAAATGCATGCATTTCCATGCTGCTGGACAGGCCTGAGTTCTTATTGCATGACTCGATTTCCTGTAATGCATTTTACAGCACGTTCATTTTCAGTGGAGGTGTGCTGCTCCTTTTAGGGTGGGCTTACAGATGAGATTGAAAACCCTACAGACATCAAAATAAGCGCTTGGATGTTTTTGTACTGTTCAGCCTCCAGCTCTGAGGCAGGTATTTAGGCTGATGGTTAACTACTTAGTATATAAACTGGTGCGCATGCTTAAAAAAAAAAAAAAATTATATAAAATGTTTTTAGCAGCTTGTTTGTTTTAAGGACAAAGGCCAGTATTCTTATCACTTAAGCTAGTCAAGGAATCAGGATGCAGGCCTTCTAGTGCTGTGTATTTTCCAGCACATTCAAGTGCTGGCTCTTATAATTTTTGCACTGAATCTTCCAGTGTTGTGGAGTAATTCAAGGGAGTTTATTTTTGTTTTTAAAAAGAAGGATAAATGGTTAATGCAGAGTGCAACTTGCTTTCTTTTTAGACATTTGGATCCATTTGGAACTTCTGTAAATTACCTGGATTCTGCCTTCAGAAATGTGAGGAATCTTGGAATTGTGTCGCTGACATCCACAGACATTAGTTCTCTGTATGCAAAGGCTCAGCATGTCGCCCTGCGTCACTACGGATGTAACATTGTGCGAACAGAGTACTACAAGGAGCTGGCAGCCAGGACAGTCATTTCTGCTGTGGCAAGGTATTGTTAGAACAGATCAGCTCAGACTGTGGGAGCAAATTATTTTGATGCAGCATTTCAGACTCTTGCTGTAGGTTATGCATGCTGAGTTTCCAGGATTCTTGGACTCTAAAAGCCAGACTTCTTGATACAGAACCTATGCTTCATATTTTATCTATGCTACTATGTAAACTTAACTAATGTACTTTACGTTAGTAAACTTTATGTAGTAAATTTTAAACTAAAGGCTCAGGAAAGATGAAAGTATATAAATAGGGTAGGGATTTGGGGTGTTGAAGGGGTGGTGGATTTTGGTTTTGGTGGGGGGTGTTATACTGTGAACTGCTAGCTGGGCTTGCAGATACGTGAGTTTGTTGGTTCTTTTCTCAACTTTGTTGCCATTTCAGTACTGCATACAGCTTTGTGAATATTAACTAAAATACTTCAGTGGCTTCTAGCTAAGAATTACAGGTTTTTTTTAATGGAAACTAGTGTTAAGGGAAACTGATGTCCACTTTGGAATCTCATGCTTGAGTTTAAAAAGATATTTGTAATTATTACCTTTTGAAATCAATTCTTTGCATCTAGATCAGGCATTCCCAACCTGCAGGCATGTGCAGCACAGCACTGCTCACATGGTGACCTGCCATCGTTGCAGCCGTTCTTCCTTGCTGAGTGACCCAGCCCACCCTCGGGCACTTGTCTGGATCATCAGCATCCACAACTTTTGTGCTTGCCTGTGCTGTGTTTGTGAAGAGGAATTGTGTTGAGCTCTTGGTTTGGATGCTGCTGAGCATTGTGTGCACGCCCAGAGCCCTGCTAAGCTGCTTCCGTGTTGGCACAGGGCTGGGCCAGGCCACCTGCTCCGCCTGGAGCCTGGGTTGGTCCTGCCTGCTCTAGATATTTGTAATAACTTTGGCCTGTTAAACAAATGAAGTCTGAAAATCTAGTCTCTAATTAAGGAAAAAAAGGACTGGCCAAACTGCTTGGGAAGAAAAAGGGGAGAAAATATATGCAGAGTTCTTCAGAATGGCAGAGCTAAAAAACTGATGGGAACGCATTTAGATTTTAATTTTTTCATCTCCTTTCCTGTGGTAGGTTGCAGAACGTTCTTAGATACAGTTACACTGCATCAGATTAACTTTGAAACTATATTATGAACTGAGATTTGGAGAGGGGGATGAGGTTGAACTTTTTAGCTGTTAAGATGAAGTCTGATCTCCTCTGGTTTATGCGTTCCAACTCTCTGAAAACTTTCTTCTTTTCAGCGCTTACGTGCTCAGGAACTGCTCCCTTGTCTTCCTGCAGTCCTTAATTAACGTTTGATAGTTTACTATCATGTGTGTCATTCTAAATCTCAGCTTTCTTGCTTTTCGTCTAGTTTGTTTAGATTCTTTGTTACATTATCCTGGCAGTAGGTGGGTATTGGGATAGAAAGATGATGTAAGAACAGACCAGTATTTGTTAATGAAAACTGGAGTGTCACGTTCTTAGCGTTATGGGTAAGATATAAGTAAGCCATTTAAGAAGCGTTTTAAGAAGCAATTGCTTTCCTAGACTTTCAGCATCAGTTTCTAGAAAGCAGGTGAGCTCAGAAGTCTTTCAGCAGCTTCGGGTGTCTGTAGAAATGTTACTCTATTACATACAGCATCATTCAGAATCATTTGGTGTGTGTTTGTTTTTCCTCTGTAGATCTGCAGCTCGCTGTAACAAAGGCATTGAAGTCTTGCTTGCAGTAGCCCTAGAACACTTTGTTCTTGTAGTCGTCAGAGTTTTAAGGGGACCATCTCCTGCAGATGATTCAGCGAAGAAAATAAGATATCTCATCCACTGTCAGTGGTGTGAGGAGAGAATTTTTCAGAAAGAAGGCAATATGGTTGAAGGTCAGTGAGTATTTCTTGTCACTTTCTTGAATGTATGATTTCCTTTGTGGGTTTGTTTCTTCTTTTGCTTGTTAAGGTCTTGTTTATATTTACATCTCCTTAAGAAAATATTATTTCTATTCAATGTGCAGATGTATACAGTGTATGAAGCAGAGAAGCTATTTCTGATACAAGCTGTCTGTTTTATGGTAGTTGCTTAGATTGGCTATGTTCATGGATTTTGCTGTAAATGTCTTGGATTTACTGCTAGACAACACCCTCTGGCTCACTGTAGCTGCTGAGGGATGCCTGATATGCTGTTCAGTCCAGCCTTCTAGTGAGGGGCTTGAGGAGTGGGGCAGCTGGCTGCCATTCTCTCCCCTCCATGCAGGGGTGGCTTGATGGATTTAGTATCAGATTGCTTTCTGCAGAGCGTCATGTTCAGTTACCTGAAAGTACAATGAAATCAACAGTATCGCTTTCCCTCAGATGAGGGTATGTTTTGCCTGCTTGGGCCTTATCTGTAAATGCCAGATGGAAATAATTTTAGTAGGTGTGGTAAGAAAAGTTCACAGCATCCCTGCAGTTCATCTAACACTTGGGAATAAATGGAGGCAGCCTTTCTGTCGAAAGCTGAGCTCGAGGTTGCAAGCTGTCTCTGTACAAAATTGAAGCTGGAGGGTGGACTAGCCAGGTAATAGTTGGAATGGATGTAAAAAGAAAAATCTCTCATTTATTTCAAAGTTGCAGGTTCCTGGATATTTTGCTATTCAGCTTGTGGTGTGTTTTGAATGCCTTGCTCCACGTCACTGCACACTCTTGCACCTGACTTTTTCATTAAAGAGATTCAGTCCTGTTTTTATAGACATAAGTGAGTAACTGATAAGTGCAGTGTTATGGTGGAGAGCTTAATGAATAAATTAATGGTTTATTTGATACTCTACCTGCAAGCAGTCTCACTTACAGCCTAGAAATCTTGTAGGCGAGCTGTATTTTATGTATGTGACTGACAGATGTTCAAGTTTTTGTTGTTGATGTTTACTGCTAGCCTGGGCAGCTGCATATGTAATTTGTAGGAAGATTAGTAATTTTCTCATCATTTGAAATCTGCCAAGAAATGGAGCAGGTTAGGTGGCCGTTTTTACAGCATCATTTTAACAATGATTACAGCTCAAAACCGTTACTCACTGAACTTTCTTAAGGACTGCTGCATGTTTGACAGAAGTGAGAGTGGTGTTGCTCCTTGTGCTGTTGCTTACCCTTCTAATTACTTCAGTGAACTCAACTTCATGTCTGTATCATCTCAGTAAACACTGACTATTCCAAATTCACTGAAACCCTGTTTTCCTGTTGCAGAAAATCCTTATCAGCAGCTGCCTTGTGATTGTCATGGCAGTATGCCTGGGAGGACAGCGGTAGTTCTTGGTCCTCTCTGGTAAGTTCAGAGAACAGCATGGAATTGCAGGGTAACTGGGGCTGGGAGGACCTCCAGAGGTCAACTACTTGGTCACATCATAGAAATGCAGGACTGCTGGATCATCCATCACTGTAAAAGGAAAGCGTGGCAGTCAGGAGTAATTCAGGAAACAGTTAACTGATTCTGTTCTCTTAGTTTAGGAAGGTGTTCAGGTTTTTGTTTTGTTCATAGCACTCAAACCAGTAAGTAAGTAACAAATTCACTTGAAACTTCACATTTAGTGCAACTGTTCTAGTATGTCCTGCACTAAAGAACCTGGCTCTGTGTTTCTGTGGTTGCTAAATGTAGTGAAGTTGTTTATTACTGGATACTTACAGAGTGTACATAATAAATCCTAACATGCTGATGGAAGTACGCTACTTGATGATTTTTAAATTGCCTCTTATGAGAAACAAAACTAAATTCTTTAAGTTCTAATGGTTTCAAAGGAGCATTAAAAGCAGTAGCTTTCTTCCTGATAAAAGTAGGACAGAAAGTCAGTGGTAGGAATAATAGTCCTGAGATCTTTGTTTGTAGTGCAAGAACAATGCTGCTGTCCTTGGAAACCAAGCCACTCTATACTGTTGTGTTAGGCAGCAGTACAGTGCAGCTCTTTGGTGTAATTTAACTGCAAATCACTGTGAGTGATTTTTTTTCAAGGGAACTTCTTTTGCTTTCATTAGTAAAGTCTTCTCACTTCTCCTGTGTTTCTTAGGTCAGGAGCTCTCTTTAATACTGGATTCCTCAGAAGGATGCTGTTTGAAGCTGTCCAGTATGGCTTAGATGAAGTCCAGCCACTTTTGAAGACAGTGGTTTGTGAAGCTGAGTGTACAACTTCAAAGAATTTTTCTATCCATAATCCTTCTGATGAAAACAAACAAGGTAAGAAAAAAACAGCAACCTCTTCACGAAGAGGCTGGCTTGGTGGTGGTTTCAGATAGAGATTACTCTTTGGTAACATTATGCTAACAGCAGAGTACATGCCACAAGGTCAAGGAAATAACTTTTGTTTTGAGTCCAGCGTGAGGCTTGGTAGTGCTGTAAAAAACAGTAGGATCTGTTGAAGGCAGAGTGCTGGATTTATACCTATGTACCTATGTAACCGCTATGGGAGATCCTGAAACAGATAAGCATAATATGGGTGGGCTGACCACTGTGAAATTCAGTGTGTTCCCTGAAGGAGAGCTGGACATGGTGCGTCTCTCAGTTCTCTCTTGTACTCTGCTCCTCACTACTGAGGACTGCGGTTGTTCTGCTCTGCATTCTCTGCTGGAATAGCAGACCACCTTTCCCTAACATCACGTCGGGGTCACCATATGAAGCCGGAAGCCCGCTTCAGCTTCATACAGGTGTTCGCAATCGTTAGGGACATCTCGGTCTGTCCATCTACCTCGGTGCACACCAATGTGGTGGGTGGTAAAATGGCGTTTATTAACTCGTGACAACAGTTTATATAGCCTTGTACACCTTCGTCTACGCCCCTCTTATCGTGCGTAAGCACTTACATCACTACTTCTTATCTAGTTACTACGAGCAACTACTCGAAAGTTCTATGCTCACTGTCTACATTATTCCACCAGAAGGAACAACTTTCTGCACCTACATGCTCTTTTACAGTTAAGCAAAGTTACATTTTTAGTATTTCCTCTAAATTAAATTTCTGAGCTGGTAAGCAGATGAGCTATGCATGCCTCTCACTGTACTTCTATCTTCAGGCTGGGAGGTGGTGGTGGGTTTTTCTGATGAACTCAGGCATTTTGCCATTCCACTGTTGTACAGTAGACTTAATTTTGACCCTTAATTATATTCTAGAAGAATGTGGCGTATATATTAAAACACCAGATATGCTGGCGGAGTCTGATGTGGTGCCTGGTAAGTTGATTGTTTTTGTGCAACCTCAGCAATTTCAGAGTATGATTTTATACTTGAAGTGATGGCGAAGCCAAACTATAGGTGAATGCTATCTTCTCTGTATTTAATCATATGTGAGTAAGAATTATTTTCCCATTGCATAATTATTTTACTTGATCTAGAGTGATATTTGTCATATTTCCTGGTAAAAGCACAATGCTAATTACTTAAGTATAAATACATCCATAAAGGCATGGTCGATGTGTGGCTTTCTGTATGTACTATCTTTGGCTCTGCTGGCTTTTTTTTTTTTTTTTTTGTGGACTTAGTGAATATTCATAGGTTTCACTGGCCTGTTTTGTGATTCAGGAAAAAGAAAAAATAATGAAATGATGCGAAATGCGACCAAGCGACAAAAAACTGACAACAGTGCTGAGCACCCTGCATTTTACTACAATATTCACAGACACAGTATTAAAGGAATGAACATGCCCAAGTAAGGCTTACGTTTACATTCCTGTCTTACAGTGCTGACAATTAATATATAATTTGTACTGAACCAGCCTCGCTCTTGTTAATGCCTTCTTATATGGCTTTTTCAGGTTAAATAAGTTCTTAAACTACCTCTCTGAAGCTGGATACAGAGTCAGCAGAACCCACTTTGATCCTATGGGCGTTCGCACCAATGCTCCCTTGGCACAGTTCAAGACTGTTCTCATGAAGCACAGTACTCCTACGTATGCTGGGGGGCAAACAGAAGGCCCTCTCCATCTGACAGAAGATGTCCAGATGGGAGACCAGCTTCAAGCTGCTGCAGACAGCAAGGCAAAAGATGATGAGTTTCTGGAAGAGAATAAATCTGGAGACACTGCCACTATCTTCACAGAAGACTGCCCTACTCACTGTGCAGCTGATTAGTCCAATCCTTTTGGGTTTAGATGAGAACTTGCACCTACACTCTGTTTCAAGTACACCGGTACTCCTTGCAGACCTGGAATTTGACAGTTTGAAAACCCTGCAATTTCAATTGGAGAGGACATCTTAGAATTCTAAAACTTAGCACTGAACGCAGCAGTGTGTATGGTCAAGATGCTTTTCCTGTGGGAAAATTTCTAGACAGTTGGTTCTTTCACACATCCACTTTCACACTGAGCATTGTAGCCAGCACCAAGTCTTTGTACAGCCTTATTCAAGCTACTGGAACAGAATCCAGGAGAGTGGATGGGGCCAAAAGTCGGAAGCATTTCTGAACGTAAATGTAGTTTGAATCAGATGATCGTTCCTAAAACCTGGCCTGTTAGAACTCAAAGGGAAGTGACATTAGGGTGATAAAATACAGGACAAAACGTGATGTGAAGCCAGAAGATGCAACTTGGTGCACTTGTAACTCCATATTGCTCATGTAGTTTGGCCTTTAATTTTGTTTCTGTAGATCTACCTATGGGCAAAATCCTAACAAGTGAGAGCAGAAAGGAACCCGTACAGAGCTGTGACATAAACTTCAGTTCCTAACTAAGCTTTAGTGATTTGTCTGTACTCACTCTGGGTAGTTTGCTTGCTATGAGATTTAGTTTGGTTGTACACTAAAAAAAAAAAAAAAAAAAAGAAAAAGAAAAAAAAAAAAAGGTATAGTGACCAGACATCACAATCTGAAGTACTATTAACAAATTCTTCTGGAACAGTTTGCTGTTAAAAGATCTCTTCAGTGACTGAGCAGAGATCCTATTTGTTGGTAGTCATTTTGGGTTTCTTTAAATACATGGCAACATTCCAATCAAACAAACTTGCCTTCATTTTTGTTTTTTTTCCCAAAAAAATCATTTTACTTGGGAAAAAAAAATTGTTTTACTTGGATTCTTTGACTCACAAAATGGCTTGGGTTGGAAGGGACCATAAAGATTGTCTGTTTCCAGCACCCTGGAGTGGCTGGTTGCCACCTACCAGATCAAGTTGCCCAGGGCTCTATCTAGGCTGGCCTCAGTGCCCCCCAGGGATCGGGAATCCCACAGCTTCTCTCAGTGGCCTGTGACAGGCATCTCTACCCTCTGAGTAAAGAATCCCCTCCTAACATTTAAACTAAAATAGGGGAGATTTAGGTTAGAACTGTTCCCTGTTCTGTCTTTATTTGCCTGCATAAGAAGTCGGTCTCCCTTACTCTCCCTTTAAGGATTGGAAGGTCACAAGATCTCTCCAGATCTCCCTTCTCCAAGCTGAACGACCTTAGCTCCTGCAGCTTTTCTTCATGGGAATGGTGCTCCAGCTCTCTGATTATCTTAGTGGTCCTCTGCACCTGTTCCAACAGCTCCACATCTTTGTTATGGTGCAGTGTTCCAGATGAGGTCTCACAAGGGTGGGCTTGAGGTGGACAATTGCTTCTTTCTCCCTGCTGGTCACTCCTGATGCAGCCCAGGACACAATCAGCCTTGTGGGCTGTAAGTACAAACTGTCCAGCTTTTCATCCACCAGGACCCCTAAGTCCTCCACAGGTCTGCTCTGAATAAATGTCTGGGATTGTCCTGATCCAGGTGCGGCATCTTGCACTTTGCCTTCCTGAAACTCATTAGGTTTTATACATCCATTTTTCAGAGCTTATCCAGGTCTCTGGATGGCACCCCTTCCTTTTGTCATGTCAGCTGAAGCACTTTGCATGGTGTCATCTGAAAACTTGCTGCAGGTGTACTTGACTTTGCTCTCTAGTTCATTGATAAAAGAGCACTGATCCTAGAATGGAGTCCTGAAGGATGTCCTCCCCCCTGTCCTGATGTCCATAATGCCATTGACCAAAACCTTCTGGATGTGATCATCCAACCCATTCCTTATCTACCAAATAGTCCGCACTTAGTCTCTTTTTGATTTAAAGGCAAGGATTTGATGTGGTACCATGTCTGAGGCCTTGCAGAGGGTAGATGACATCAGTTGCTCATCCTTTGTCCACTGATGACATTCTTCCATCGCAGAAGGCCGCCAGATTTGTCAGGCACAGCGTGTCCTTGGTTGGCTGTCTCAGATCAGCTCCTTGCCTTGCACATGCCTTATCATAGTTCTCGGGGCATTCTGTTCCACAGTCTTCCTAGGCACAGAGTTAACTACACGCTGATGAGCCTTACCTGGTTTTCCTTTCTCCCTTAAAAATGAGAGTGATGATTCATTTTTCTAATCACCAGAGACTTTGCTTGACAGCCATGAATTTTCAGATGTGATGGAGAGTGATTTGGCAATCACATCAACTGTTTCTTCCAGACCTGGGATATATGTTATCTAGCTGCATAGATTTGTAATGTTCACTCTTATGAGACAGCATTGGACTTGTTTTTTCCAGTGGGAGGGATTTGGCTCCCTCAGCTCCAAGCTACATGTTTAAGGACGTGAGAAACATGGGAAGCCTGACCACCAGTGAAGACCGAGGCAAAGAACTTTCTGCGTACCTCAGCCTTGTCCGTGTCTGCTGTAGCCAGTTCCTTCTCGTTGTCAAGGAGAGTGCATCTCAGAGGGGTATGCTTTCCTTTGCCTGTCTCTTCTGACCAGCATACATGTATAATCTCATAATTTTTTCATGTCCCTCACCAACTTTTATTCCATCTATGACTTGGCTTTCCTAATCCCATCTGCGCATTCAGATGGCACCCCTAGATTCTACCCAGGCCACATGTCCCTGCTTCCCCTGCCTGTGGTTCCTTTCTATCCCTGAGCTTGACCACGAGGTCACCATTCCAGGCCCCTGCCATCCCTGCTTGATTTGTTGTGCTGAGAGATGGAGAGGTCTTGTGCTCTCAGAAAGGTGTCCAGCTCTTCTCCATTCCTTTGTCTCTATAGATTGCTTCCCAGGAAATCTCATCCAATAATTCCTTTAACAGTCAGAAATTTGCTCTCCAGAAGATCAGGATCCCAGCTTCTCTCCTTGCTAGGCCCATGTTCCTGAGAACATGAAATCAGGCAAGCACGATCCCTGTGGCTCAAACTGCCTCCAATTTAAACCTCTTTAATGAACTCCTTTGCATTGGTGAGCATGAGGTCCAGAAATGCTTCCAGTCTGCTTGGACTGCCCAATACCTGGACCAGGAAGTTATCCTCAATGGATTCTAGTCCCCTGGATTGCTTACAGCCCCTTGTGTTGCTTTCCAAGCAGGCATCCATGTGGTTAAAGTCTGCTATCAGGATGAGAGCCTGTGAGCATGATGCTTCTTGTAATTGAAGCAAGAAGGTCTGATCTGCAGGCTGCCCTCAGCTGGTGGTCTGTAATAGATCTGATAACCAGAGGTTTTTCATTGGTCTGATTCTTCATTTCTACCCACCAGTTCTTAACCTGACTGTGGCTGTTTCCTTAACATGGTTCCACACCCCTCCTTCCCTGCCCATCTCTTCCAAAATATTCATAGCCCTTGGTTATAGCGTCTCACTAGTGCATTTCATCCTACCACATCTCCATGACAGCAATTAGGTTATAGCTTTTTAATTGCACCATGGCTTCCAGCTCCTCCTGTTTATTCCCCACTCTGTGTGTTGCTGTGGAGGCACTTCAGTTGGGTTGTCAATCAGCCTTGTTACCTTCTCAGAGCAGCATAGTTCCTTCACAACAGTTCAGAGCCTTTCCTCTGATACTCCATAGATGGTGTTCCCTGGCCCTTCTCTATCACTGAGAAGTACATCCTTTTTCTCTATCAAATGTAGTTTAAAGTTCTGGTTGTCAGCCCAGCCAGCTTTCTGTCCAGAATATTCTTGCCCCTCTTTGTCAGTTGTGCCCCATCCTACATCTACATACCCAGCATCTGGTGGTATATCCAAGATAATGAAACGCCAAGTGCGACAGCATCCACATAGCAATCGTGCACCTCACCTGTGCGTCTCCTTTTTCCTGGGTCCCAGACTCCAGCTGGGATGAAAACGGAAAACACAACCTGCACACCTAATCCCTTCAACATCCATCTGAGGGAAATAAAGTTTCTTGATATTTTGTAGTTCTCATTGCAGCCTCATGTTACCCAGCTTGAAAGAGCAGCAATGGTTAATATCCTCTGGCTTTATCAGCCCTGGGAGCTTCCTCTTGCTATCATGAATGCAGGTCTCTGGCAGACAGTGAACGTATCTGGAGAGATTGTCCAGGTGGCAAATGTGTGCTCAGTGTCTCTGAGCGAGGAGTCCCCAATTATTAACACCCTTTGCCTTTTTTTGGTGACACTGGATCTAATGAAGTTAGTTGGTCAGACCAGTTCAGTGTGCCTTCCTCTGTCTGCACTCCAACCCACGCCGTCTCCTCTTTGTTCCCAGACTCCTATTTGTTGTTGGGTTATTTCAGGGTCTGTGGGGAGGCTCCTTTGGTTCCAACCAAAGTCCAGGGTTTGGTCTCGTCATCCTGAGTGTTCCCATCTGCCATCTTGCCATCTGTCTCCTCAAGGTTGGAAGCTCGCTTACCTTTTCTTTGCAGGGACTTGAGGCAGAGCTATTCTGCCCATGTCACTGCATGACATCATCATGATATGACATCAGTTTTTCTCTCAGATTCCTGGACACTTCTCTGCCTGGTAATTTCCTCTCCAAACACATCTAGTTGCTTGAACTGGGCACACCTGTATTTGCGACATGTCCCTCTGTTCTCATGCCCTGGCTTGCCTTCCATTTTCTGGCCCCTACAACTGAAGATCTGGGCAGCTCTGTCACTCCTTGGGACACCTGGCTCTGGGAGCACGCATCAGCCCAGAAAGGTTGTGGTGCCCTGTCAGCCTGGCTGTTGTGCTGGGTTATCACCATCAATAGAAGGCTGCAACTCTCCCTGCGGATCCTGAAATTCCTCATGCGTTTGTTGGGTTTTTTTTTTTTTTTTTGACAGAATGCCTAATTTGTTCATCTTTATTTGAGTAATGTGGACTCTGCTGCAATTCCCATTTATGCACACATTACTTTTCTGAGTAGTTAATACCCCGTGGTTTTCTCCTTCCCACTTATTTTTGTCTACAAGTCTCAAAGCCACTATATTTTGATGTTCTGAAAAGTAAATTACTTGGCTATTATGTGTCTTATGAATTCCAGAAAAGTATCTGGATTACAGCAAAGCTGATCTTTTCTGACACACATTAAATTATTTTCAATGCATACCGCTGGCATACCAGCAAGTATGGCATACTTCTGAAACAGGCAATAAGCCCCTTGATGGGGAGTGCTGCTGAGCATAACCTACTGCACTGATAGCAAGTCTATCCAGAGTAACTCCTTACACTTGTCTTCAAGATATCCATTTGAATGTTGCTTAAAGTGGCATACCTTCAGCCTTGCTATGGAAGATATTCCCAATCGTCAGCTACTTTGAGTCTAGTAAACCCACCTACAGCCCTGAGCCAGACAGCCCTGCTTTAAACACGGCATCTGTGTGAAAGTGAACTGTCACAAAATGGAAAGCTTTAATCCCTGCCTTTGTGATGCTCTCGTGATCCAGTGCAGGTTTTCCCTCTGGAGTGCAACTGGACATTCTCACTGCACTGGTGGCACACGGAGATACCCTGCAGTTACAGCACACTGCAGCAATGTCACTCACTCGTTTCACTGAGGATGAGGAGGGAGGACTGCCTCCAAGCATGTCTGAGGACAGACGGCTGGCTCCATGCTTGAAGATTGCCTGCTGTGCTGCTTCCCTGGGGCTCGGATCAGGGATATATCTGGAAAACTGCCTAGTCTGATCCACCCCTCTCATTATTATCCACTGATAGTCCAGGCCAGCAGTGATGAGGTCACTGACAGAAGCCTGAGGACTGTAAAAAATGATTTTAGGGGACTGGGGAGGTTAGTTG